AACTATCATCCATAAAGATAATGCAGCATGTGTTGACCAAATGAAGGAATGATTCATCAAGGGCGATAAGACTAAACACATATCTCCAAAGTTTTTCAGTGCACATGAGTTTCATAAGGCTAAAGTTATTGAAGTCGGGCAAATCCGTTCCAATGAAAATCTGGTAGACTTGTTCACCAAATCTCTACCAAAGTGCACGTTTCCGAAGTTAGTGTAGAGTATCAGATTACATCGACTTACCAATTAGCTAAATTTGGAGAATGCGGAATCAGGGGGAGCATCCATGATACATGCATGTTGTACTCTTTTTCCTTTGATTAGGATTTTCCCATTGGGTTTTTCATATCAAGGTTTTAACAAGGCAACATAAGCATACTTAACACTATATCAACAATCCAGGTAAAGTTGTGCTCTTTTTCCTTCGCTATGGTTTTTTACCACTGAGTTTTTCCGAGCAAGGTTTTAACGAGGCCACTGATGCTGATATGTGGGCATCCAAGGGGGAGTGTTGTAAACATTGGTAGATGAATGAATGCCCACACAGTAATGTGGACTTGTGAAAAGAATGATGATTGTACTTGTGTGATAGTTTCAAAAAGTATGTGATGTGCTTTTCAAGATGTAATTATTACATTTGTTTGGAGTTACTCTATAAATAGAGCGCTCTTTGTGCTATCAAAACACACTACAAAAAGAAAAGATCAATAACATCAGCATCTCTCCCTCTTTTATCTGTCATTTCCTTGTGTTATAGTTACAGTGTGATAATTTACGTCTACTGCACTCTTGTCACTATCAAAGATTATCTCTCTAACTTTTGCCTATTTGTAACATTAATGAATAAATTTTCGCATAGCAGCCTCTTTTTGTAGAATTCTCACTATCACTCTTGAGCCATTGTTTTTCTTTGCCTTTCTTCAACAACTTGGGCTTGGGCTTTATGGGCTTATTAAGATAGCCGAGCCTACAAAGCCACCATGTCCCTCCGAACCCCAATAAGCTGGGCTTTAATCTCCATCCCGTTACGCTCGAGCGCACCCACAGCACAGCCTCCAAAATACGCACGCACCCGCCAAACAGCTCCTTCCTCAGAACCAAATCCGAGTCGTAAATGCTCCCACCGGTCGCGCTCTCGTCCACATCCAAACAAACCCTCGTCGCTAACGCCGACAAAAACGAGAGGGAGTGGGGAAAGTCTAAACAACTCAGCATTTTAATGTACGGGTTACAAGATTTGAACATGGGTGCAAAGTGTTGGGGAAAGTCTGTTAGTTTGGGCCTAAGCCTCTCAGAAATCAGTATACCTTGTGCGTTTCAGTATCCTAGCGAACTTGCCTAACCCGTGTTTTTGTGTTTTTGGTCTTCGGATTTTCTGGTTGTTGTGCTTTTGCTCAGTTGCTAATCAAATTAATTACCCTTTTTGTGCATTTATGTTTGTGTAGTGAGGAGATTGTGTACTTGCTTTGCAAGCAACTGTGCTAAAAGGGCATCACAGACGCACAGCGGTCTCATCTTTTTGTTGTATTCATTTCCAATCACAAGAAACGGGCATGTATTTTTTTGTGCTCATGTTACCCAACTGGCTATTTGTCTTAAAATTTATGTTTTATCTGTGTTGTTTTCAATGAATTTAGAGTTTGTTGTGGTTTAAATAAAATCATGTAGATCCCGTTGTGGCACTAGAAGGCCAGTAACCATGGGATTGTTCTGTGGGATTATCGTGTCATTTCCTTGCCCTTTAGCAAGCTATGTCTCAAAAACTATCTGCCCGCCATTTCAGACTTTTTTCCTGAATTCCAAAGGTACTTCATCACTTGTGTGTTTTACATTTATAGGGAAATGTTCTTATGATACTTTGGATGTTACATTGTGAGTTTATCGAGATTATTGATCTGGTAAACTATTATATGAATGCATAGGAGGTCCAAATTCAGAGTCTTGCAACATTAACGTGCCATATATCTGATAAGTTTGTTACCCTCTATATATTGATACCATTGCGGTTAATGTGGTGCAGGTGTTTCCCGATAGTGCATGCCCCAATATTCCTTTGTTTGTTTGCGTCTGATAGAAGACACATGAAATATCCTCTTGGCAATTGGCTTCATCAATCTCCTCTCTATCAACCTATTGTTGTGCAGGTAAGTGCTGAATTCCTTCGATACTTTTATATAGTTTGATGATGGTGAAATTGTCAGTAGTCGTACTTAGTAGGCTGGAGAGGTGTAAACTACCAATTACCCCTCCAAACTATCACAAGGCTGCCGACTACCCTTGGAATTATATTTCTTTCTGATTTACCCCCTTAACTAGCTTAAGACAGCAAAATAACACCTTGTCGCTGGATTTGAGAGAATTTCATCCAAATTTCCATGTAGTAGTGTCATGTGAGAGACATGAGACACATTTTCGAATCCAACTTCACATCGATCTCTGCTCTCTCTCTCTCTCTCTCTCTCTCTCTCTCTCTCTGTGTCCCAAATAACTGTAATGTTTTCAGTTGTTTGCCTTAATTTGACTTTTAAACGAAGGGAAAGTAGAGAGAGAAGGAAGATCAAAGATTGGTTTGTACTCAAAAATGTGTGTCACGCCTCTCACATGACACCACTTAACAGAAATTTGGATGAAAGTGCCTTCAATTTAAAAGTTAAAGGCATGGAGCTATTTGGTTCTCTTGCACTAGTCCAAGGGTTCAATCGGCAAGAAAAATAGTTAAGGGGATAACTGGTAGCCTTGTGATAGTTCCCTGAGGTGTATTGGGGGTAATCGGCAGTTTACCCTTTGGAGAGTTCCACATCGAAACAAGCTTTATATCGTAAGCCTCCAACCTTGCTTGATCTTCGTTATGCTCTTAGGTGAAACAATTCCTGATTCAAAAGTATCTGATTCTTGTTTTTAGGATTGTCACTGCGTGAAAAAAATAATAAATGTGTGGAACTCCCTTTGTTTGTTTTTCTTGCCATCAACAGCGTAACTCCAATATAATTTGTACTTGTAGTAATGTCAGATAGATGAGATTGAAACTGAGCCTCATATGTGATTTCCTTCTAAGTAGCTGGATGGTGCATAACTTGCTCGTGTTCAGGTTCATGCCAAGCTCATGCTTCTTGTGGCTAATTGTTATGAGTTCTGTTTAGAATGAAAGAGAATAATTTCATATAAATTCCCTAACGAGCTACATCAGTCACGTGAGAAACATTATGTAATTCTTAAGACGTATATAATTCTTGTTTTTAGGATCGTTATTTCTTGGAACTCCCTTTGTTTCAGTTTTATGTGATCAAGAGGGTGCCTCCAATCTAATTTGCTCTTTTAGTAATGTCAGATAAGATTGAAAACTAGGCCTCATATGTGATTTAAAAAATTGGTTCTATTTCTAGAAAGTAGCTGAAAGGTGCATATCATGCTTCTTATGGTCGATTGTTTTAACTTCTGTTCAGAGAGAAAGAGAATAGGTTTATATCAATTCCCTAATGAGCTATAGCATTCAATTAATAAATATAATCTCCTCTTTCACTTTCCCCTTCTTAGTAGCTAAATTATTTTGTCTGGCATTGAACTTCCTGTTTGGTGAGTTGATTGGGATAGGTTGTGACCAATTAAAATGGACTCAAGTCCAGTCCAATGTTTGTTGTGTCAAAATGTGAGATGGACAGGACTGGACATTATGGGTTATGCATGGGTTACAAGTCGTGTCTTACTTGTCCCAGCCAAGGTGACGAAATTTAGAGGCCAAGGTGACTAAATTTGCACTTGGGAACATAGTCAGCGAGGCATCATGCTCTTCATTCTCTTCTGCAGAGAGAGATGTGGAGGACTTTGGTAAGATGGTGTTAGTTTAGCAAGTGGGTGTCGAGTTGGGAACCATTGTGAGTGGGCATACAAAGAGTGGCTGCAAGGGCATCCAGAGAATGTGGTACACGGGAAAATAATTGGCGGGTTTATTTCACAAAAGCTGGAACATGCTTTAAGAATTGTGTTTGTGTCCAAATTGATGAACGTAGAAGACCTCCAATGAGAGACGTGGTTAAGGTGTTGGAGGGCACCTTGAGCGTTGACGAAGAGGAACCATAGAATCCAGCTATGTGGAAGATATTTTATTTTAAGCTATTCATGGTAAGAGTAGGACTAACACAACGACAATTTAGCCTTGTATTCTTGCCCTTATGCCATTCAACTTTTGAATTTCGTGTCTAACTTTGAAATTTATTTTACATTCTCTTTTTCTCTGCATATAAGAATAATCATGACACTAATATTTATTTTACATTCGTGCCCTCTCTTTCTGATCCGTGCTAAAGATGCGGTGACATGGGCAGGAGTCGATTGACCAATGCAGTTTTTACTCAAAAGCTTGGTGTGGTTGTGGCAGAAAGTTAGCCGGAGGAGTTTTTCTCCCAGATTCCTTAATGTATGGTAATTCTCTTGTTAGCTGGACCTAGTATTTATAAAGCCTATCTTTTTCTGGCTTCCGGCTGAGTTGCTGCGTCGCATTTAGGATTAGTTCATTCCATTTCCAGCTGCATTTTCCTTTCTCTTTGGTGCTTCTGAGAATTGGGTTTCGCCTCAAAGATTGTATAGAGAATTGCGTCTTTAACTTGAATGACAAGTAACAAATATTTCACTCTGTACAACTCTTCAGGGCTTGAAAATCAAGTTGATTATTGTTTAGTGAAGCTTTCGATCTGCTTAATTAAAGCTTGTGGTCAGCTTGTGCTGTATGGTTAGCCGAAATCTAACAGGGAAGTCCCCTCCGCCATGGCCAAGCTTTAAATGCTTCTTGTAAGTTGTAACACTAGAACGGCTTTGTATGTGCCTAATTTAACGTTGAATTCCTCTGATAGTTTTACCTAGTTTGATGACGGTGAAATCACCAACCGTCAGAATTACTAGATCGGAGAATACTGCTTCTAAAAAACTTGAGTTTTGAACTTTTGAGAAACAAATAAGCAAGCAAAATAGTCAAGTACACACACATAAGTACAGACACACATTGTGACTGATAAGGAAGTACTTTGATGTACTAAAAGGTTGATTAAAATGGAGTAATATTACAATAAATCAACATGAGAATTTACATCGGCCGGAACAAAATACAAGCAACTCAAAAACAACAAAAGATTAGACAATATAAAACAAAGACAGAAAATAAGAGGCCGCTGCATTGAAGACAGCAGCCCTGTTCTATTCGAAAGAAACATTTGGAACATGAGAAATCGTTGGCCAATCTTCTCCTGTGTTGCTCTGGCATTTCCTCTCGAGACCAGGACAATTTACGATCTCAAATTTTGTTACGGCAGTGAGGCGACGCATCTCCTCTGGCAAAGATAACAGTTTGGGACATGATATGAGGCCAACCTTCTAAGCGATGTGAAACTCGTCAACCACCCAGGTAATGCCTCCAAATTCTCACAATTAACTATAAACAAGACTTGTAGGGTGTTTGTGGCTCCTTGAAACCATTCAGGCAATGCCACCATTCGTGGTACTCCTATAATCCCCAATTTTTGGAGCCTTAGTGGAATTACCTGATAGTTTTCCATCACCAAATCAAGTTGTTTACAGTTGATTATCATCAAAGTGTGTAATGACGCAAGATAACTTGTATCACGCGGCAGACACGTTAGATTACGACACTCCCCAAGAAAAAGATAACGAAGTGATGTCAAGCAGCCCACTCCATTTTCTGGAAAACTTGTTTGTTTTGTGGTTAATTCAAGGTATCTAAGGCTGATCAACTTGCCCATGTCTGTAGGCAACTCTTCAAGATTCACACATCTACCGAGAATCAGACTTTGCAAGCTCTGCAACTTACAAATTGAATTGGGTAGTTCGGTGATTCTTCCATTTCCAGTCAAGTCCAGGCTTCTCAAGTGCCTCAAAGAACCAATGGAACTCGGCAACAATTTCCAAAATGCATTGACTAATCTCAGCGATCGCAGATATTTGAATCTTGAAATGCAAGTGCAGAGGAAGGATTCATCAATATTTATACAACTATCTACTGCTATAGTCCGCACTTTATTCAACTTTTGCAAGGTTGTTGAAACATTTTGGCCAATTTCCAAAATTGTTAGATGTCTAACATTTTCAGAGACCGCTTTGGTCCATGCAGAGTTTACCATAAAACTCTCACCTTGTGTGACTGATTGTACAAGGTCATGGATCAGATCATGCATATCAAATTTATAGAAGAAACTGTAGACTTTAACATTTTGAAAGAAAGATCTCTCCCACAACTCTCTGAAATATAGCTCACCAACATCTTCCAACTCCATCTTCCCATGATCAGAAGACTCAAGGATTCCATGTGCCATCCAATGATTTATCAATGATGTACTGTCAAACTGAACATATTTCTTCTGAAAAATTGAACAGTAAGCAAGGCACTGCTTCAAATGAGAGGGCAATTGATTATAACTAAGTCTCAAAGCAGGTAGAATATGACCAGCTCCCTCTCGTTCTAATTCCCATATCTCAGAATCTCTAATCAATTTCCACTGATGCTCATCAGTCTTTGAGTAAAGTTGACTCCCTAAGGTTTTCACAGCTAAGGGAACCCCTCCGCACTTTCTTACAATATCTTTTCCCATTTCATAGAGGCTTGGATGTTGTCTTTCTTGTCCTTCTTCAAATGCACACTTTACAAACAAAGAGAAACAATCCTTAAAAGAGAGAACTTCTAAATTTATGTGTGTTCCAACCGTGCCCATGATTGAAGCAACTGAGATATTCCTTGTCGTCACCAAAATCTTAGATCCTATCTTGGCCCCCTCTACCAACAAATCTCTCAACTCGCTCCATTTGATACGATCTTCGTTCCACACATCATCCAAGACAAGCAGAAATTTCTTATCCTTTAAAGCGTCTCGTAGTTGCTCTTGCAACTGATCCAGTGACAACCCTTCACTGATATGTGTACCTACTGCAGAGCCAAGGATTTCTTTTGCCAATCTATGGATATCAAAGTCCACTGACACATGCTGCCACATTCTTAAGTCAAAACTCCCAGCGACTCTCAGATCATTGTACACCAACTTGGCAAGGGTGGTCTTCCCTAAACCTCCTAATCCCACTAAAGGAATAACAGATACATTCCGGCCATTATCCCCACCTTGATGATCATCGCCTTGTATCATTAGAAGATCAACAACTTTAATTTTTTCTGTTTCTCTACCAATAACCTCCGAAGCACGGACAAAGGAGTGGGTTGTATTCCTATTCTCCCTCGCATGTTCACCGAGATGAGGGTGATGATGAACAGTGCGAAGATCAGCAAAATTCTTATCATCTTTAAGCTCATGTAACCTCTCTCTTATGTCCTTAATTTCATGACCTACTCTCAAGCGGAATGCAACCGGATTAGAGCGGGAAAAGAAACGGCGTACCTTTGTAGTTGTGTGACTGCCACGAACCACTTGCCTTTGCAACGCTTCGCACTCAAACTCATCCAACAGATCCTCCGCATCAAGGAACACATCTTTAAGTTGTCGTAGCCAACTGCGTAGCTCCTTGTTATGTGCTTGCTTCTCTTCAGCATCCAAGAGCACATCTCTGATGGTGGACATGGTGCGTCCAAGCTTTTGGAGATCCGCTTTAACACTCCAAGCCAAGCAAATCTCTTCAGAAGCGATGGAGCCGAGCCTTCCAATGAGTCTGCTTGCCAACGGAAATGCAAGCTCGGCCATCTTCTTGTGCTTGATGAGGTGAGCTCAAGGTAATTGAGATTTTCTGGCCTTAACTTAGGATAACGATTCTGGTTCTCTGCTAATGGTATGATCAAACTCTTCATATGCTTTTAAAAGTCAACAATTATAACCTTAAATCAGGATAATGATTCTGGTTTTCTGCTAAAGGTATGATCAACTCTTAATGTGCTTTAAAAAGTCAAACAATTATAAAGAAAGACATATAATATGTTATCTTTCGTTTGTTAGGAAGGTTGAATATTGTTGTGTCCGATAACTAGGAAATTACCCAGCGGCAACTGGCAAGCCTATAGTGGGAGAAATTCTTAGGTCATTATTCTGAGTTTCATACCAGTAATGTTTTATCGGATCACATGGTCGTCTGGCTTAAGGCATAAATAAACCCTATCCCTACTCTCACCTACTAGTATTTGGCCTCGTCCATCGATGTGTCATATGTCATCCCAAGCGAAGAATTTCTCTTACCATGGGTGTTTGGTTTGACAATATAGTCGACTACAGAAAATTTGACAATAGAAAGAAAGGAAAATCTTGCTCTTTCTTGTTTACTTTAAGCTAATGAAATTAAAAAAATCTGTTTTATATATGAATCTCTCGAGTGCTCCGGGACTTGATGGCTTTATGATTCTTTCTATCAATCATGGAATTTTCTTATCCATGTGCTTTCCAGTTTTGGTTTTTCTTGTACTTTTGCAGACTAGGTGCATGTTCTATTACAGTCAGTTCATCTTTTAATTTTGGTAAATGGTACATCTCACAGGTTTTTCTTTTGCTCTTATAGTGGCAAGGAGACCCTCTTTGCCCCCTTATTTTCTATCAAACAGAAGAAGCTATGAGCAAGGATTTATCTTTGCTTTTCTCTAGTAGTCATATTAGTACTATTTCAACTCTACAGGGTTGTTGCTCTCCTACTTATGTGTTATATGCTGATGATATTTTTATTTTTTGTCGTCGGAATGTCCAATCCCTTCGTGCTCTTCGAAATTTCTTGGATGAGTATGGTTGTGCATCAGGATAGCTTATTAATGCAACTAAGAGTTTTTTATTTTTTATTTTTTTTTATCTCAATTCTCAAGACATCATGACTTTTGTTTGAGTGTTGTTCCTTTCACTTATCTTGGGATACCCATTTTCTGTGGTGAGCCAAGAAGAATTCACTTTCAAGCTCTGGTTATAAGGCTAAGGCTCGCTTGTCGGGTTGGAAAGGTAAACTTCTTTCAATGGCTGGACAACTTTAATTGGTGCAGTCTGTGTATCAAAGCTTGTTTCTCCATAGTCTCTCAATTTATCAATGGACAGCTTGCCTTTTAAAGCATCTTTCTGCTTGTACAAGGAATTTTATGTGGTCAGGGGACTTGGCTTCCTGGAAGATGGTAAATGTTGATTGAAGTATGGTGTGTGGACCTAAGCAGGAAGTGGGTTTAGCTTCTTTGAACTTTACGACTTTGCTTAATTTTGGCTGGTTTTAATCAACTAATTGATTGACTATCACTTGTAAAGTACATTCTACCATGCATATTATTCTACCATACACATTGGCTTGTAATAAAACCACCTCATTGCCAAAAACACAGGCTTAAGCGCTAGTAAGATGGAAGAACACTTTCGATTTGTTCTCACCTTCACTACTCGATTCATGGTCCCTCACCAACCTTAACAACTTCTGCAACTGGACGGCCATTATCTGCAACCAAAACACAAAAACAGCTACCCAAATAGACCTCTCCAACTTCAGCATCAATGGCACACTAACAGAATTCAACTTTGCCACATTTCTCAGTCTCACTCACTTCAACCTTAGCGGCAACATATTTGTTGGGCCTATATCCCCAGATATTGGAAACATGAAGTCACTGGTGAGCTTAGATGTCAGCACTAATTATCTGGAAGGGGAGTTGCCAGGGAATATTTCTACCCTCAAGAACCTGGAGACATTTTCTGTATTCACCAATGATTTATAGGGAAGCATTTCTAGTGCATTTGGTAAGTACAGCCCTTACTTGACATATGTTAGCTTTTCGCACAACACCTGCTCTGGAGTATTGCCACCCGAATTGTGTAGCAGATTTTCTTTTGAGAAAGTCATGGTGACGAATAACAACTTCACAGGGCCATTGCATTGAGAATTGTTCAACGTTACTAGCAGTGGAGCTTGATGGGAACCAGTTAACCAGAACATTTGTCACATCCCGGCCCGGGCAGGACCACTTCCCGAGCCCGACTCCACTACCGTAGCACGATATTGTCCGTTTTGGGCTTACCATTCCTTCACGGTTTTGTTTTTGAGAACTCACAAGCAACTTCTCAGTGGATCACCCATCATGGGATTGCTCTAGCCCCATTCTCGCTTAACTTCAGAGTTCTTACGGAACCCGAAGTCAGTGAGCTCCCAAAAGGCCTCGTGCTAGGTAGGGATGAGAATATACATATAAGGATCACTCCCCTGGGCAATGTGGGATGTCACAATCCACCCCCCTTAGGGGCCCGACGTCCTCGTCGGCACACACGCGGCCAGGGTCAGACTCTGATACCAAATTGTCACATCCCGGTCCAGGCGGGACCACTTCCCAAGCTCGACTCCACTACTGTAGCATGATATTGTCCGCTTTGGGCTTACCATTCCCTCACGGTTTTGTTTTTGGGAACTCACGAGCAACTTCTCTGTGGATCACCCATCATGGGATTGCTCTAGCCCCCTTCTCGCTTAATTTCGGAGTTCCTACGAAATCAGAAGCCAGTGAGCTCCCAAAAGGCCTCGTGCTAGGTAGGGATGGGAATATACATATAAGGATCACTCCCCTGGACAATGATGTGGGATGTCACAACATTACCAGTGCATTCGGTACTCATCCTAATCCTCAAATCATTTCTCTTGCAGACAACCAATGTATGGGTCTACTATCACCACAGTGGGAAGAATGCAAAGAAATCACCACTACGTGTGTGAGTAGAAAGAAAATTTCTGGTTGAATTCACCTGAGTTTCGGCAGTTGACAAATTTGGAGTATCTAAGCCTAGACTCCAATAAATATTGTGGGGAATTTCCCAGTGCAATCGGAAATCTGAGTTATATACTGAACCTCAGTGCGAGCAGGAACAACTTCACAGGATCAATCCCTCAGAGTCTAGGTAACTTGACATGGCTTGAGCTTCTCGATTTGTCTGATAACCACCTAACAGAAGTGATCCCACAAGTCTAGGAAGCTTGTTCCTCAAGCTAACGATTTGACTGGATTATTACTCGTTGAGCTTGCCGTGGGCAATTTAATGGGGTTGACCTACTTAGGTAATTGTCACTACTTGGATCTCAGCAGCAATTCACTCTCCGGAGCAATACCTTCAATCTTGGAAAAACTCACACAGTTAAATGTTTTCAATGTCTCACACAACCTCTCCCATTGGAAATCCCACCTCCATTTTCCTAACTTCTTAGTCTCAAGTGCTGTGATTTTTCGTATAACAACTTGACAGGGCCAATTCCAACTTGTGGCATTTTGCAAAACGCACCAGCTAATGCTTTTGTCGGAAACTATGGCTTGTGGAGAGAGGCAGAGGGACTGACTGCATGCAACTCCTCCGGCAGAGATTCCAAAAGTAACAACAAATATTCCAAACGTATGTTACAACTGTCATTGCTTTCTTACTTATGTTTCGCAGGAGATCCAAGCTACTCCCTCAGCTAACCAGAACATCTCAGAACTTGAGAGTTTTGAGTCAATAATATAGCAAGAGGAACTGCAATCCGGCCAAGTTGTTGTCATTAAGAGGCTTAACATGTCAGATTCTAATGACATTCCAGCCATCAACCTCCAAAGTTTTCAGAATGAAATCCGAACACTAACAAACTTCCGACACTGGAGCATCACTAGGCTAAGCTCCATTGCCCATGCAAGGGTCCCTTGCCCCTAAATGTCGCACATAATGGCTTGTGGAGACACTTGAGCCTTGTAAGGTTACAAGCATAATTTTGCATTAGGTTGGTTGCCCCACTAGAGCTAACCTGCAAAATTGGACCACGCGAACCCATACAACTTACGACTGTCTCACAACCCACATTAGACCTCCACTCCAGGGAATTGGGGGATCTCCCATTTCTTCCTTTTTTTTCTCCCTTTTTTTTTTTTTTTAATTTCAAGAAAATAAATTGAATATTTGGGAGTTTTTCTGCAAATGAGAGGTCATTTGGTAGGTCAATTCACAACTGAAAATTGCAGTAACGGCCATCGTGACATATTCTGGGTATCTTTGAATTTTGATTTTATGCTTGTTAGATTGAAGCTGGTTGATTGTTACATATACAAATTCTTTAGTTGTATTTGATGCCATATAGAAGAGTCATCAAACGAGTACAATTATATGTCTGTATCTCTCTTATCACACGACTTGATTTGAGAATAAAACTTGATTACTAACAATTATCGAATAAGTGATTGAAGTTAGGCAAAATTATGTATTGCCAATCATATATGTGTGACTAAATTGTGTACTGCCGATTGACGCCATCATTTTAGAAATATTTTGTTCACTACTCTCATTAGATGAATTTGATTTAATATTTTTACGCAGATATCAAAAATCTCTACTACGAACAACTGTAACAGTTGGAGAAAGACACGAGTCACAGGTGAATACCTGTTTGTCAACATATCTCATCGAACAACTTAAGAAAAGCACATCTAAACAAAAAACTTGACTAATTACAGTATTACAAGAGATGTAGACACAAAGTCTACACACGGTGACCGTGCAGAATCCCTCATTTAACAGCTAACCAATTTGACCGGTTCATATAACAAAACAAAAACAAAAATTGACCAATTCTTCCCCACCTTTTTTACCAATCGACCGACTTTTGGAGAAGTTTTTGCAGTGGACCTAGAGACCCTCTCAAAGTCCAGTCTCATTACTATTTGGCGTGCCTTCCTACTTTCAATATGTATGGTGCTATCCACACTCATTTTTACTACACACACCTCTCGATTTCCGGCATCAGATTGAATGAATTCAAGATCAACGAACAAAAATTAACACAAATGTGTAGAACATAAGGAGTGATTCTTAGAGAAGTTTTGATAGTGATCAAAAATCAATCGCGCCAGAGCTCTTAACTCAACAAATCCTAGGAGTTTAATTGAGTTATGGAAAATAATAGGTACAAACTACATTAGAGACCAATGTTTATGGCATCCGTACTAATGGTTTCTTAGTTCAATGTCTAAATTGCCGCACAAAATCATAAATCAGCTCTCGTTGCCCACAGGGGATCATTGTAATCGTTCAACTGCGCCGGAGTCCCAAGTCATTTCTATTCTAAACAAAGAATGGGAACGAAATAATTCAATTTATGGATGATCCCCACATTCATATATCATCACTTTTCTTTTAGATAAAAACTGAAAGAGATGAAAAAGAAAGTACGAATAAGAAATCAAAGTTGGCGTCCTTCAGGGTTGAAATCTTTATCTCAGTGAGTAATCCCGGACAGACCATCTAGAAATGAGTCCATGGTATGAATGTCTAGTCCTCTAGTCCGTCCAGGAGCCCCTCCTTTGAGGGATGATGCATCCAGCACGATCCTGCTCATCAGACCGTGTAGACATGTAAACAAGCAGAATATCTTATGCTATATATGACTAAACAAGCAATGAAAAAGAAACTTACATGTTCGCTGATGCTTTTTCTAGTTCTGGAGTTCTGGAGTTTATGATGATTTTGTTATCAATCTTGGTCAACGAATGGTCCATTGGCAGATCAACCACTTTAGTTGCTGAAGTGGAAGTATTAACTCATTAAATTTCGATTTAATATATTATAAAATTAGTGAGAACCAAGTTCATTTGAACCGCTTCTTACATGATTTAGGAGCTGCAGTGACAGTTCCATCTAGCCCCAAGAGTTCCTACACAAACAGGTGAATATGGTATCTGTAATAAGTACATGTAACCAGCTGACAGGTAATTTGTAAATATATAAGCTCACAAGAAGCATCGGTGCAATCCAGTGAGTGGGAACTACCTTTAGACTCTGGTAACAGTTTTCCAGGTTATCATTATACAACATATGATCAAAGATGCCTGATGATTGCCCTTGCTCAATCTCTGTCTTAGCGTTTCGAAGTCGCTTTAGGACCTGTTCCTCTGTCTCAGTCCCCTGTTTCCATATTCAACCATGCTCAGAACAGGAACATGGAAAGAGGAATTTGAGGATGAGAAATAATAAATGGCATATTAAACTACCTTGCACGAAGGCGCTTCTCAAGCTCTTCCATTGAGGGTGGACATACAAAGATGAAGATAGCTTCAAGTGAACTGGCTCTCACAGATCTTGCCCCTTGAACATCGATGTCAAGAATGCATCTCTACATTGAAAGAAAACAACATTACACACAGCAGCTCTGACACTATTATGGTGTATAGAAAATATCACATCAATTGAATATAAGTTTACTACCAAACTTGAATATGAGTTTGATGGGTCACCCTCGAATTTCCCCAATTTCGAAACCCAAGAATATTCCACCCCTCATATACAGCGGACCTTGGTCGGTAATTGTGAATTAATTCATGAGAGCTCACATTGTCCCGCAGCAATACCAGACTATTAACTAGAGAAATTCCAAAGACATTGGGACAGATCCACATGGTAAATCAAACATGATAACAAAAACTGAGCCAGACTCCAATACTCCATAATCATCATTAAAATAGAAACGAATTTTTCAAAGAACACGAAATTACAACATTTACCTTCCCATCATCTGCTACGACTTCTACTGCCTCAACACTAGTTCCATAGAGATTTCCATGCACAGAAGCAAACTCAAGGAACTTGCCATCTTCTAATTCTTTCTCCATGACACTCCTCTCAATGAAATGGTAATGGACCCCATCCTTTTCCATAGCTCTTGCAGCACGGGTTGTGTGGCTCACAGAGAATCCAAACATGGATGGATATTCTTTCATGAGCATGGATATTAGTGTCCCCTTACCTACCCCGGAAGGACCACTAATAACAACTGGCTTCTCAGCATAGGCCCTCACACCCTTACTCCACGCAACAACCTCGGTGCCCAAAATTTTCTTCTGCTGCCTAACATATTGGGTGTCCACCTAACAAAACAAAACGCTTTCAGCGATAGGGATGACCAGGTAACCATCTAAAAGTAATATGCAATAGATAGAAGCATGATAACTGAAAAAGTCCAGTTCAATTAACAGAAGCAAGGAAAGGAGTTACTTTGCTCTCCACATCAATTGAATATGAGTTTATACCAAACTTAGCAGTTTGAAACTTCTATTTTAATTTTAGTGCAGTCTCACTTTTTCTACCATTGTCTCAACTTAATCAATTCCTAAGCGAGACGAAAATTTGACATCATTTATTATGTTCCTTTATCATATCTGAATGATTCCATAGGTACCGACCTCAAGAAACCAAGCAAAATCGTCTGCGCTGGAATCATTCTTGGTAATCAATATTCGGTCTTCAGCTAAAAGCACTGCTGAATGGCCTTTAGATGGCTTGGGTTTTGTTCCCAACACAGTAGGATTTATCCTGCAAAGTTAAACCAGAAATTAGCAACAGCAAATCAAGAGAAAGTAATTCATTACCAAGAGCCATACACTTACCATTCACCACTGGATTGATCAAGAATACGAACTCCAATTGACAATGCCGATTCCTCACAGGCTCCACCAATCACATACTGTCAAAAAATGCATTGGCATTATGATTGACCTGGTGGCAAATCACTGATATTGGACGAGAAAAACATATTGATATGTTAAATATCATACTGTTCTGTTGCCGTAGGCAACGGAAGTTTCATCGCCTTTTGATTTTACATCGAAACCATTTGCAAATCCCTTCTGCAGCTCATCAACAAAGAATGCTGGTGCTTCACCCTGATGACAACAGCAACCAATATCTATCAAATCACAGCAACTCAAAGCAACTGTCTTGGTTCACATGTAGGCATCATCTCTAATTACATTCCTGATCAAAGTTCGTTTCTTTACACCGAAATTAAGCGTAAAACAAGTATGAGGCGCTTACCATGGAAAGAGCTATTCCTGCAACTCTAGATTCCCCCTGATCAGTAGAGATGGAGATAGATGAGAGTAATTCGATATTTCCTGGATCTAAATAATACATAAAAAACTGAAAACCGAATGACAACAGAAAACCGAAAAAAATGAGCTGGAACCGTGTAAACATCTCAATGAGCTACAAAGCAGAAACAAACACACAGACAAGAAAAAAAAAATCAGAGAAAATGATGCCACAAAAATACAACTGCTGATTTCTGTCAAAATTTCTTCATAAGCCACATGTATCTATCCAAAAACAAACCAAAATAAAAAACCAAATGGGCAGAGAGCAAAGATCATCAAAATGCAGAAAAGCACAAAAACCCACATCAAAAAACCTAAAACATATGGATCAAACCCCTTAGAAATCCCAAAAAAAACATTGGGTAAAAAGGAAACGGACCCAAATACCTTTCTGTGAGCAGCAATTGCTCTGTGACGAAAAGCAAGCTTAGTTCTTGGCAGGGATGGAATTTCAGAGGGGAAAACAACGATTTAAAAGGCCAGTTGGTGTGCTACTTTTTCAAGGTGAAGTTTTGGGGAGGCTTAGAAATCAAATCAACACAAACTTGGGGTGGAAAAAATCACAGGAGTGATAGAATAAGGTGCAAGAAATCTGGGCGCACATTCTCATATTTGTAGCAAGAGAAAAGGGGAATCTTTGAACTTAGTCCAAATGCTGTCGTGGAGGAAGTGGGGGAGGGGGGAGGCGGAAGAGGAGCGAGAAGAGGAGGAGAGAGAAAGAGAAAAGGGGTGAAAGCCTTGTTGTGGTCGCATTCAATTCACTACACAGAGAAGACCGGCTTTCGTTTTCTTGTAAGGTGCTTATGAAGCTTCTTCCCCTTCCCCACCACTCCGTCCTTTTTTCTCCTTTTTTTTTTTTTTTTTTATTTTTTATTTTTAATTTTAGGGCTTCTAGATTTCTTTTTGAGATCAGGACTTCTAGATTTTATATATATGGGATTATCCGTTGCGAGAACAAAGAAGGAAAACAAAACCCTATTTTCTTTAAATTAAAAGGAAGTATTTTTGCTGTTACACTATAGTGATGGTGATGTAAAACTGAAATTTTTCCCAAAAATCTTAAACCAAATCAAAAAAAATATCAATTTCATACTAAAAAATTTTCAAATCGATAATACCAAAATTTTCGAGATCTATACCAAACCGATCTCGAACCATTCGGTACAAGAATCGCGATTATGTATCCAATGATTCTGAAATCCTGAACCAAACCAAAAAAAAAAATATATATATATACACATATATATTTATTTTAGTTGCATGCATGTTAAAGGTTAAATTTAAGTAGTTTGATAGTACACTATATTAGAAATAGAAGTATAAAATTAAGTAATTTAGAACTTTGGAACATCAATTTGACTTGGTAAGAATGAATTGGTATTTCAATTGGTATGAGATTTCAAATTAGTAATAGTTAAAAAAACCTAAATTTTAATTGATATGAAATTGGGCAACAAAATTTCAAGCCAAAAGCCCATTTTAGCCCACTACGCAAAAATCTCAAATTTCTGCCCAAAATGCAAAATCAAGTCCCGATCCATTCCGAAATACCGAAAATATTTCGAGAATCTCGAAAATTGGAAATATTGTAATTTCGGTTTGGAATTATTCAGGATTCCATTTTTGGTTTGGCATACCATACTGAATCACCCTTAATGTAAACTACTTGATTCATTTTACTAGAGGTTGGTTTGGGATTGTGATACATTTAAGAAAAAACAGCTTATTAAAAAACATGAAACATTAAATGTGTTTTGTAAAACCAAAAAAAAAAAAAAAATTATTTTTTTAAAAAATGATGTCAATGAAAGTAGAAAATTATAGAAAAGCAGAAGCCGATGGTGTTCTCTTGCTGGAGAAAGGACAGAGGGCAAAGAGGGGACGCTAGCAGGAGAGAGGGGAGCCAAGGTCTTTGTTAGTCTCATGGTTTTCGGGAACTCTCGCTAAGAATCTTTAGCGACACCTTTGGTCTGGGCGAGTCCAGCTAATCTCGATAACGTTTTTCCTGCACGGTAACAAACACGGGATTGGACTAATAATTAGTCCAATCTAGCCCAGTTAGAGCTAATGAGGGCAAAGAAACGCCTCCTAAATGTGCAACCTCCTGCACCCACTACTGGACCCTCCCTACCCCACACAACCCGACCCAATCCATATCTACACCAACGCAGCCCCTCTATCTTTATACCGGCTGGTAGTCCTCTCACTCGCGTCTATCAACGTGTAGTTCATTTTCATTGCGTTGTCGAAAATGTTGTCCTAAGTGTGTAACCTCCTGCACCCACCACTGGACTCTCCCTACCCCACACAACCCGACCCAATCCATATCTACACCAACGCAGCCCCTCTACCTTTATCCCGGCTGGTAGTCCTCTCACTCGCGTCTATCAACGTGTAGTTCATTTTCATTGCGTTGTCGAAAATGTTGTCATTTGGCTTGAAACTCGTGTAGTCGAGTCTTGGGTACCAATCCGAAACTGGTATGAATTGATTAGAGATGGAGAATTGGTATGGCAGTGGAATTTGAAAATCGTAGTACAGCGACTGGGTGGCAGTGGAATCCGAAATTTGCTTTGGCTCGGTAGGTGCATGTTGGGGGTGAGTAGGCCTATATAATTAGGCGTGGTGATGGAGATATTGTGACTCGAGCACCGAGAACAGATCTTGTGCCTACTCCCCAGAAGAAACAGAAGGAGACGGAGGTTGGGATTGTAATGATTGTTAAAAAGTGCACGCAAAGATTATTCAATTGTGTAGTGTTTTTTATTTTTTTTATATTTTGATTTATGATATTTATTCATTGCCCTAATATTTCTTTCTCATGATTTTAAATTTTTTTGGGCCAAAAGCTTGCTACGTCATTTGATGGAGAACTTAATTATTAGACTAATAGAAGTATGATTTTAAGAGCAAATCGTAACTTTAGATATGAATATGATTTTAAGAGCAAATCGTAACTTTAGATATGAAAGTAACACGAAAAAACTTAAGTGTAACAAAATGTAAATTTTACGATACTTGAGTGCAGTAAAATGATTATTATCCAAAAGTATTATTATTGTATTCCATTTAGTCATACAAATTTATTGAACAAATCGACAGTGTATGTATAACATGTTTATTATGAATCATTTATCTATTTGATACGTTTAGATAACTAAATGATTTTTAAACCAAATGCTTTCTTGTAAAGACTTATCTTTAAAGGAAATTAATAAATTAAACAGTTTGATTATTAATTTTATTAAATCAAATTACAATAGGTGTAAATGAGGAAATATACGCATCTCCCAATGCAAGTATTATCCAAAAAGAAAACCCCAAAGTATCGTTGTCCTCGTACACAAAATGCGGACAAAATTAATGAGTGAATGTGAGGACAAAGCGTTGAGATGCTAATCGGTGGATGGACGCGTGCTAATAGAATAATTAAAAGATTGACGCGTGTCATGGGAAAACTATGTGACAAATTTGTTGCTTGCCAAATTGTTAAAGAAGAAAGCTAAATTTTTTTCCGAAAGAGAACTATTATTAGCATTTTAAAATTTTCGTTCTACACTTTAAAATTTTTATATTATAAAAGAAAAATATACTTATAAGAAGTGTAAAATAAGATTTTTAGAATGCCAATAACACTTCCATTTTCAAATTATTTAGATTCAGTTTAAAACTCTCTCTGCTTTCAAAGGTAAAAAAAAAAAAAAATTGCACGACTCCTGCAAACATATTTAGAGAAAGACACTTGTAGCTCAGCTTCTAGGAATTCCGTAATCATGATCGTTTATTGTACATCGTGCGGTCAGTTTTCGTAAGGTACTATTTATATTTATTTATAAATTTTAAATTTTGAAATGATTTCTGACCACACGATACATGATGAACGATTACGATCACAGAATTCCTAAGAAAATGATCATTTTCCTTTAAAATATTCACGTGTATTCAAGGAATCGTGTCTATTCTCTTTTCTTTCGACGTGGCTTGTATCAAGAGGAACTTGCTTACCAACATATGTGTTTGCATCCATTCTTGAAGGATTATTCCTTATTCTAGCTACAGAATCGAGGAAAAAAAAATTCTAAACTTGATTGTCGACATACATTAGTATCTAAGTGTTAATTGAACCAGGTTGTCAAAACTTAGATAAAAGCATACAATTTGAGGTGACAATGGCAACTAGAATACTTAAAAAGGCAACAAATTGGAAATGAAGTGTTTAGGAAATAGCTTGAACTGCAAAGCATGTGTGTTATCGGTCACTTGATGGTGCTTTCAAATGGAATATTGTAAGTTTCTAGGGTGAACTGTTAATTTAGTCCTTGAATTATCACCTGAGTGAATATTAAGTCCTTAAATTATTATTTTTCAGGAAAATCAATCATTGAATTATAAAAATTTGTCAATTACATCCCTAATATTATATTCGAATCTAATACATTCAATTTTTCGTCAATTTAAGTCACGTTACTTGCTTGTGATATACATTGAAGCGTAGATTGGTAATTTTAAATAAAGAAATATTGCATGGAGCTAACTTTGGAAGTAAATTCGACGTTAGATTCGCACCCTATATGAAATGTTAAGGGCTTATAAGTGAGAAAAGAACGGTATTACACTCTAAAGTGTGTCAAGTAACTTAAGTTGACGAAAAATTAGATAAAATAGTTTTGGATATAATAGTTAGGATGATATTAGTAATTTTAATAAATTTAAGAACTTATTTTACTAAAAAATAATTTAAAATTTTAATTTTCACTAAAGTGATAATTCATGAATTAAATCCGCACTTCAGTATCTATATTGGGAAGGATCAAATCCTTTACTAGCTATTTTACTTTGAATAGCCTAAAATGATTTCAGCTCCTTCATATGATCACCATGCACTTACTGAGAAATGAAGCAAAACCGCAAAATTATTTATTAATTGGAGCAAGTGCTAACTTTCTTAGTCAAACTTTTCCTTGTCTGTCTAAAAAATCATTTCTTCATGGAATCGTAGGGACGTGTTAAAGGGGTCAGGAATCAAACTTTCCACTTGCTCACCAACTCCCTCGAGAAAATGCGTGCACAACACGGTAGTGCGTAAACCCTCGATCACGCTAAACCCCTAATAAAAATGCTAAAAAGATTCTATCAAAAGTTAGACTATAAAATTTTTTGTTATTTTATAGTTTAATAATAACTTTCGTACTAATATCATAAAATATTAAACTAAAAATATAAAGTTACAATAAATCTAAGAAGAATTTTACTTCGAAAAAAATCACTTTAGCATTTCTCAAACCCTAATTATATAGGTCGGCAAATTAAATGTACTATAAATTATCAACATCATTGCGACCATTTGCTAGGTCAAGTCACAGAAGCAAAACCAAACAGGAAAACAAAGAGATTCTGACTTTGCAATGCTTTACAGATGAATTTAAAGATTTGCAAGCAATTGGATCAGCTATCAAGTAGTGACAAGTGCACTACAATACAAAAAGGACGTGCTACTTGTTCTATATATTGTCTTATAAAGGATAAATGGATGTGCCCTTTATAAAAAGTAGCCATTCGACACGAACTATCAATGTCTTTATTCAAATTTTGAAAATAAAATCTACAAAGAGAGAGAATATACAGTTATTGTAAAAGTTTTTTGGTGATCACCTTGAAACACTTTTTTTCGTTATTGAAGATAATATTCATGTCTTTAGCGACTTTTTCTCGATAATTATTTTCTCACTAACAATTTGTATTATTTGGAAGAAAAACGCACAAGAGAAAATGGGGGCAGCTAATACAGTTGCCTTGCTGTGAGACTTTGAAAAATTTAGTA